GAAGTTCAGCAAGATCTTTTTAGTGTTCCGCATAACGTCTCTCTAACCCACTGTGGTGCCCAAGATCTTGAGACGACTAAAGGAATCTCATCCGTATTTTATAAGAAGTTCGGTCGTTTGGACGAGTTAAAAAATCAGCCCTAAAGTTGGGAAAGTACTGAGATTAGAAGATGATTCTCGATCTTTGCTGTATATGGTGACCAGGAAGTTGTATACAGACAGGGCAAGCTACGAGGATATCTGCAGAATATCAATTTGAAGAAAATCATCTTCAATTATGACATCAAGAATTTGGCCTTACCCAAGATAGGTCATGCACTAGATAATCTGGATTGGAAGATTGTCAGAAGCATGCTTGAAGTAATCTTCCGAAAAACCGGCGTAAGAATTACTGTGTGTTGCACCAATCCGAAGAGATCGTGTCCTTTAAAGATAGTAGACTGTTATTTCTTTCTGAGGGATTCATGCAGAACTGGAGAGTCCTGTAGATTCTGCCATCCTGGGCCTACATATATATAGAGTTGCTGATCGGGACGCTCAGATCTAAGAGGGGAGCAGTGTTACGAACATGCATTCAAGCGTGTCCCGTGTAGCGGTTTCATCTGGAAAGCGACTCGAAGTTTCCAGCGATATCGAGTGCGAGAGAGAACAACCCATCACGTAGGTAAATTAAAGGTGGGAATGTTCTAGAATAACTTTGGTATATATATGTAACGATGTTAGTTCAGTTGTTAAGATATTACCGAACTGTAAACTTATAAATAAATATATGTATATAAATTCGAACCACTCGTTTTATTTAAAAACGCTACAATACCTTTCTAATAGGCGGGGTAAATCAACCACGTGACCTTCTTACTACTTAAAAATCCCGGGAGATAATCGGGGTTCGAATCTTATGCTAATTTTTCTTTTTTCTATATAAATTTCAGATAGTCAATATTACGTTTATTAGATATTAAAATTTTTAAGTTAATCTGACAAATAATAAATAATGTGGATGTATCTTTAAAAATGTAAAGGCAACTTATTATTTAATTCTTATTACCATATTATATGCGACCATGTTTTTTAATGTCCTCTTATATCTGTTTTCTTATTACTTGATTAAGTTCCTTAAATTCTGCAGTGTCTCTTTTGTTTTGTCTCAGATGTTTTCTTTGTTTCAGCATGTTTTGTAATTATACAGTTATTTTGGAGTTTCGTTTTCTGTTAGCGGTTGTCACTTCTGAACTTCCATTTAATAATTATTTTGTTATGACTTCATTTATTTCATTTAAGCTAAGTTTATCTAGATTTAAAACTTTCGCGGGTTTTAACTTGCTTTTATATTGTTCTGTATTAGATTTTAATTTATCTGCGTCTTCTATATTACAAGTTTTTCTAAATTTATTTCTATTTTTATTGTTTTATCTCTAATCTGGCTCTAACCATTCGGTGATCGCTACTTACTGATGCCGTATTTATTACTGTTACGACCTGTAAGATATCTGTTTTGTTACACAGTATGTAATCTATTTCGTTCCGAGTTTTTCCGTCTGGGGATAGCCACGTCCACTTTCTTTGAGGTTTTTCTTATAGAATGTGTTCCAGCGTTACCAAAACTAGGGAATTTTCCCTATACCTAGGAAATTTTGAGCCTGCTTAGGGAAAAAGGGATTTTTATTCAATTCTATGAAAAATCTAGGGAATTCTTAATATTTGTAAGAATATTTTAAAAAATCAATTTTATTTAATAAACTTTCCAAAATTGCACATATAATATTATCTACTTGGAAATCATACTATTCGTGGAATCACTAAATTCTGTTTATGTGATTTCCCGTCGGAAACTAGAGTGGTGAAATTTCACGAACTGCGAATTACGTCGGGGATTTACCTGGGCTAAAGTATGTATTGGCGTCGCCCATCGGGTGATTTTTGGTTTCTAGTTTGTCTTTCTCTAACTTTTTATGTCATTCCCCGTCGATGACTAGAGTGGTGGTATTTCACAAAGGGCGAATTACGTCAGGGATCCACCTGGACTAAAATATCTTAATACTTTGATATTCTTACCCTTCTTACCATAAATACAACTATAAAACACTTGTGCAGAAGGGGCAAAAATAATTATATTAAAAACATATACAATCAAAACAACAATATAGTTTGAATTTGATATATTCAAACATATATCAAAAACATGTGTACAACTAGAGGAACATGCTGACCGCCAAGAACCTATAGAGGACTTTTCTCAAAAGTCAAGTATCTAGCGAGAGAATTCAAACCGCAAAGATCATCAGAAATAATAGTGGAAATATCATAAAAAACACAGACGGTCTCGCAGAGGTGTGGAAACAATATTGCGAGATACTATTTTCTAACAACGACCGAGGCAATAATACAGAAAAAATAGGTTATGAAAAAGAACCTCAAATATTGAAATCAGAAATTGAGGTGGCAATTAAAAAGCTAAAATCCAGAAAAGCAGAAGGAGAAGATGCAATAACAGCTGAAACACTAAAAGAAATGGGAGAATTAGGGACGGAAGTAATGCTTAGAATTTGCAATGAGATTTGGAATACCGAAAAGTAGACAAATGACTGGGGTAAACTTGCATTTATTCCCATATATAAAAAAAGGTTTACCGACAGCTGATTGCAGTAATTACCGCACAGTAGCATTGATATCACACGCGAGCAAAGAACTTCTAACCATCATTAATGAAAGACTAAAATTAGTTCCCTTACCACAAATTCCCCAAGAACAATGCGGATTCGTCCCAGGTAGAGAAACAAGAGAACACATTCTTAATATTCGTCAAATTATCGAAAAATCTCGAGATTGCTTTGTTGACTATTCCAAAGCCTTTGATACCGTAAAATGTAATAAAATGTGGCATACACTTAGTGAAATGAGTACTGCAGGCAGAACATCTTATCTATTTATTACAAAAACTATAGGTAAATAATACCTGCTAATGTAAGAGTCAATAATGTGAGTTCGAAAAACATCAAATTAAAATCTGGAGTTCGACAGGGATGCATAATATGCTCTATTCTATTCAATGTGTATAGTGAACATATGCGTCAAGTTGTTGAGGAAAGTGGCAAGGTAAGGTGAAGCAACGATAGGAGGAAGAAAAATTAAAAACCTGCGTTATGCTGATGACACTGTTATCGTCATCACCAGAAGAACTGGAACAAATTATGAATAGGCTAGGCACGGTGAGTACGGAATATAGTTTGAAAATAAATATGCAGAAAAGCAAAGTGATGATCATCGAAAGAATCAGAAACAACCAAGCAGAGATAAAAAACATGGCAGGTTACGAAGTAGTCAGGCAATTTAATTGAATGCGAAGACGAGATCCGTCAAAGCATCACAATGGCCAGATCGGCAACAGCTAAACTCACAAAAATTTGGAAGAACACTGGCATCACAAAAAATACAAAATTACGCTTTGTTCGAGCATTGATATTTCCTATCGCCACCTATGCTTTAGAAACTTATTACAACAATAACAAAATAACGACATAATATTACGACAATAACAAAAGCCGATTCAAAGCGTATTAATGGCCTGTGAAATGTGGGTCTACCGTAGAATGTTGCGCATACCATGGACCGCGTATCGCACAAATAACTCAATTCTTGCAGAACTTAACATAAAATTAGACTCATCACAACTATCAACCCAAATATACTGAGATATTTTGGATATAAAACTAGAAGAAGAGAAGGCATAGAGCAAATTATAGTTGAAGGTAACGTAAGGGGTAAAAGATCTAGAGGAAGATCTCCAGTACGATGGTCGGACCAAATAAAAGAGATGACTGGTTATTCATTCTCCGAAGCAAAACAACACACACACAGGAAAGAGATAATTGGACAAAAATATTTAATAAAATTACATGACGCTACTATATCCTTACGAAGGAGAAAAGATTGAGGAGGATTCTTACCTCACAAATTCACGAACAACAAATAATACCAATCGCACAGAATGAATGTTCATAACCAAAAGTCGTTATTTATTCTACAAACAATATTTCCAACTTCTTATGTGACCAATAAACTCAAATTAGAAATGTTTGGAAAGGTTTTTAAAAATCCCGCTCATTTTGACGTCAGACTTAGGTGGTCCATTCTAGACTAAATATGGTTGTCAAGTTGTTAGGGAAATCTAGGGAAATTTTGGCAAAAATTCTAGGGAATTAAAAAAAATCATCTGGCAACCCTGATGTGTTCATTGCATAGTATTTGTGGGCTTGTAGGAAGTTAACCAAGTTTTCTCCACTCTCGTTTCTAACTCCAGAGCCTAATAATTATCCTATAATATAGTTTTCGGTTTTTTCAAGTCGTTGTCCGATCTTAGCCTTGAAGTTTCTTATTATCATCGTATACGTACTGTGAGAATTCGTGCTAGTTTCTGCAATTTTCTCATAAAAGTCGTCTATCTCTTCATCGGGATGTGCTGCGGTTAGAGCGTATACTTGATTAATTTTCAGGAAGATGTTTTCGTTTACATTTAATCTAATCATTGAAATTCTTTCAAATATTCCTACAAATTGCTCTACTTTATGTGCAGCATTATTATTAACACGATTAAAAAATAATAAATTAACTGGAAAATATTAAACGTTTATTAAAAATATTCTCAAGAAACTCCAGCTAATGCTAACAAAAAGTTTAAGTTGGTTGCCTACGTTTGGCGCAACTCAACGATATAAACTAAATTAGCGTAACTTTTTTATAAAATATATTTTTTTATATAATAGAAACGTACTTTCTTTATACATGCTTACTCATTTAATTAAATAGTCTACTAAATAAATATACATCACTACAACCGTATTTTAAAAATTGGGAGAATTTACTGTTATACATTTCGGCACATTCGACCATTTAAATCGATACTTTCATGCCGAATCGAATTGAAAACATGAAAACGGTCTTAGGATATAACACAAACACAAATAAGTAAAAAGAAGAAGAGTGTAAGGTTAGACATAATCTTAAAAGCCCGGTAAAGTTAATGTAAACAGTCAAACAGTGTAATTTGATATTAACAAAAAACACAATCAAATTAGTATAAAATGGCATTAACGAGAAGTGGTGCATCAGGAACTAAACAGTCAGAACAAAATGGTAAAAAATATACTAAAATAACTAAAAACGCTAAATCCAAAGTATCAAAAAGGAAAGCTGATCAGGAAGTAAATGATGTTCCAAAAAAAACACCCAAGGAAGCTGCCGATGAAAATAATGTTGAACTCAAATCAAAGAAACCTAAAAAAGAAAAAGATGCAGGAAATGAAGAAGCAGAATCTGAGGATACTGATGGGAAAACGACAGGAACGATATACCAGTTTAAAGCAAATGATATTAAAGGAAATGAAGTGTCTCTAGATAAGTACAAAGGCCATGTGTGCATTATTGTGAATGTTGCATCCAGATGTGGACACACTAAGAGCAATTATGAACAGTTGGTTGAAATTTTTGATAAATATTCTGAGGACAAAGGGTTAAGAATCCTGGCTTTCCCTTGTAATCAATTTGGTAAGCAAGAGCCTGGCAATAATGATAAGATCTGTGAATTTGCTGAAAAGAAAAATGTAAAATTTGATTTATTTGAAAAAATTGATGTGAATGGTAAAAATGCACATCCCTTATGGAAATTTTTAACCAGTAAGATAAGTGGACCAAAAGGCAGCAGTATAGCTTGGAATTTTACAAAATTTATAATTGATCAAAATGGAAATGTTGTGGAAAGACATGCTTCAGCTGTTAAACCTTTAACATTAGTAGAAAATCTTGAAAAATTTTGGTAATGTTTAGAATTATTCATGTACTTAATATATATTTTATATTATAATTATTGTCATCACAAGTATTTAGAATATTTTATATTAATAAGCAAAATGTATTTGGTGTTTTCTATTTTGTGTATGTTTCTGCAGGTATTGAAATAAAGAAATAACTTTTCCTTTAATTTGTGAACTTTTAGTCTGGCTGATTTGGAATATATAAAATAGCTACATAGAATAAAATTATAAGTTATACCTGGTGATACTTGAAATAATCTGCTATAAGGTAAATGTGCTAGTAGTTGACATTATAAGAAGAAAAAAAAAACATTATTTAGCTTCAAACCGATGTAGTTGAAATTAAATAAAAAATATATGTATATTCAGGTAATCTAATCCTTCCTGAATATTTAACAAATAAATTTTTGGACAATTCTGCTTTCTAAATATTTTTTATAAAATTTACAAAAATTGTTGCAAAAGTGTCAGTAGTTGACACAACAAAATGAAAAAAAAATTAGTAGTTGACACATCCAAGGTTTAGTAATTGACACCCAAATATATTTTGATAATTTTATTAAGAATATGTAATTACAGGAGAACTTTAATGTTAGATGTTTCCACATCCACTGAATCTGGAAACTGATACTTTATTCTTTCTCATGAAATGAGTATCTGAGGTTGGGGCATCCTTTTGCGGGTTTTTGAGGATTTGATGAAATGTTATTACGCTCACATCTTTATCATTAATTCGAAAAGAAGTTTTACTGTCATTTTACTGCTACCAGATTCAACCTATGATTCATTATTATCACTTGATGGTTCTTCCTTTTTCTTACTTACTTTTTTTTTCGTCACTTTCAGTTTCTGTTTTTTAACAAAGTTTTTTTCTTCTCTTTTCTTTTGTCTCTCTTCTGCTCTTTTTTGTTTTTCTTCAAGAAGCTTGATCTTCTTATTTTCTTTATTTTCATGATAAGTTTTCCATTCTTTTGAACTAGCCACAAAAGGAACTTTTTCCACTCTTCTCTTTTTTACTGCGGATACTCTGGGTTCAGGCCAAAACAGTATTCGTTTAAAAGGAGAGGGTATAATTTCATTTGATGTAGAAGGTGTAGGTAATTCTTCAATTGCTGAAGATGGAACTTGTGATTGTGTTAATGAAGAAGCACAAGTGTCTTGAATAATAGCAATATTGTTATGTTGAAGATTGTTCCTAGTGGGACTAGTGTGACTTTCCAAAACATCCGAAATGTTTCTAACTGGTTCAGCCTCAGATTGGTTTAATAACTCACCTATTTCATACTGTTCTTCGACTGGCTTATCAGGTTTGTTCTCTACGTAAATGTCTTCAACATTAGGGCTGGCTTCAATATTTGGTATGTCCTCAATATAAGTGGCATCTTCAATAATATTGTCTTCATCATCTGGTTCTTTCGCACCTTGTTTCGCTTTCAAATTGTTTATTTCTTCTTCTAAAAGACTGTATTTTATGCAAATGTTTTTGTAAAAGTGAAAGAGAGATAAATCTTCATTGTCATTGTTCCATTCTAGGCTTGTTTTGAAAAGAGCTAGTTTTTGTTTATGAATATGTTTCTCTATAAAGTTTTTCCCTTGTTTCGTTTCCTGCAATTCCTGCATTTTCTTTGAAATGTCTATTTTCTCATTGTGAAACATAATCGCACCAACATCCCAGGGAACTAAGCCACATTTTCGGAAACCATTTTTTAAAATTGATGGTACTAAACCTTTCCTCTAGAACTTTTTTCAAAAGAGGACAGAAGTGAATTTTCCTTAAAACTGGAGAAGCCTGATTCTCAATCCGCCACTGGTGTACTGCATCTTTCCAACCCCCTTTCAAAGAACGAAATACAGCAACATCCATTGGCTGAAGCAAATGTGTTGCATTTGGATGAAGGGCTACCAATATAATACCATGTTCAGTGCAAAATCTACTAGTGTGTAATGTTAAATGTTGCTGAAACTGGCTTTCTACATAGAACTGCCTCAATAGCTTTCTTCATAGCTTCTTCTGTTTATTGAAACATTTGTCCTTTTATAGGAGGCATATTTTTAACTGAAATTTAAAATTTTTGTTTTAGTAGTTGACATCCAAAGTGTTTCAATAGTTGACATAGTGTCAACTACTAGATAGAGTGGATACATTTACGTGATATTTAAAATATAAGTGTACACATTATATACAATGAAAATAACAATAAAATATTAAGTTTTTACAGTCTCAGTATAAATGGTTAGTAGTTGACACCTATGTCAACTACTAGTATTTTTGTGAGATAGTAATTGACACCTAGCCTAATTTTTGTTTTGAGAATAAAACAAACTTAAAACATTAGCAAGATGTTACCTTAATATTCAGATAATATATATAATATATATATATATATATATATATATATATATATATATATATATATATATTATATATATATATATATATATATATATATATATATATATATATATATATATATATATATATATAGATAATATCTAAAACTACAGTCATTCACAATTTAATCAATAAATATTAATTTTTTTAAACTTACCTTCTTAATACTTTTGTTTAGAAAACTTGTTGCCACTTGAAGCTCACACAACACTTTGACAAAAATTTGGTGGGAATTTTCTGTTTCAAAGTTAAATAATTCTACAGTTACAGAGAAGATGTGTAGATGACACTAGTTAACTATGATGGTAATAATTACATTAAAAATAATTGGAAAAGCTTATTATTTATGCTTAAAATGGAAAATGTCAACTACTGGTACAGCGTCAAGTACTAGTGCATTTACCTTAAATAATAAAATATATGAAAACATTTAGGTTATTTCTAAATATTTATAAACTTCAATTATTGTTTTGAAATATACACCAGATAGTTTAGTTATACATTTAACATTGGATGAATAGAACCATTTATTTTTATTCCTATGTCCATATTTTATATGAACTGATTTATCAAGTAACAACCAAATTCATTTTTAAACTTCATATATGATTTTTAAGCAACAAAAGTAGTGGATAGGAAGAAAATCATACAAGTAACATATGGGACATAATAAAATAATTTAACCCTTAACTTGTAAAATGTAATTATCAAGTTTTAAATGAATATTTACCCTCAATTCCTTGGAACAATGTATTAGATGAATCAGATATAAATTGCTGCTTAGAAAATTTTTACCATATTTTATATGATGCCATCAATATGTTTGTTCCTATCAAACGGTTTAAATCATTAAACTTTCCAGTTTGGTTTTCGCAAGAACTAATTGAGCTTGTCATACAGAAAAAAAAAAGCTCACAAGAATTTTAAAGCATCAGGCAGCTCATATAAGGAATTTTCGGTGTTAAGGGAAAGATGTAAAGCATTACAAGCAATATGTTATAAGAACTATTTAGAGAATATTCAAGCAAATCTTTCAAGTAATCCCCACTCTTTTTGGAGGTATGTTAGTACTACACATGGGTCTAGTGCTTATCCTAATGTAATGTCTAATAAAGATGGAGATGTAATAGCTCAGAATGGTGATGAAATAGTCAATTTATTTGCCAGCTATTTTTCAGGTACATATAATGATAGTGAGTGTAATGTACCTAATTTTAAATTGGATTATAATGTGGATTTCCAGAGTCTGAAGTTTAGTCTGACTGATGTTTTCGAGGGAATTAGTAGTTTAAAAACTACATATTCTTCAGGGCCTGATGGTATACGTGCAGCACTTATTAAGAACTGTATTTTTTCCCTTTGTAAACCTTTACAACAAATTTACAATTTATCATTGTCATCATCTGTATTTCCACAATATTGGAAAAATAGTTTTCTTACACCTATCTATAAATCTGGCAATCGCAAGTGTGTTAACAATTATAGAGGTATAACTATTCGATCAGCTATCCCGAAACTTCTTGATAAATTGGTATCGATAAATCTCACCTGGGCTTGCAGAAACATAATTATTGATGAACAACATGGTTTTTCTAATGGGAAATCAACTGCAACAAACCTTCTCAACTACCAACAATACTTGTTGGGTGCATTTGAGAATAAAATTCAGGTTGACAGCATTTACACTGATTTCTCAAAGGCCTTTGACTAGGTTAATCATAATCTTTTGGTCCACAAACTTCATGCATCTGGCTTTGGTGACCCCATTGTTAATTGGATAAAAAGTTTTCTGATGGGACGTACACAGCAAGTTCGTATTAACAATTATATTTCAAATGAATTTCATTGTTATTCTGGTGTACCACAAGGGTCTCATTGTGGTCCCTTGTTTTTCAACTTGTTCATCAACGATATTGGTAAGGCTATCAAAAACTCACACTTCCTGCTATTTGCTGATGACCTTAAGATATTTCGTTGTATACATAATAAATCGGATAGAGATCTCCTGCAAGATGATGTAAACAACATATGTTTATGGTCAAAACAAAATGGTTTAAGCTTAAATCCAACTAAATGCTCTTGTATTTCATTTGGTCGAATGAATAATCTAATGGCTAACAGCCATGTGGTTGTTCTCAAGAACAACCACAAATGGACGTAAATCAAACAGTGGCCCCGAGTGCCCGGCGTCCCTTTAATGGGACAGGGGTGCGAAGAATCCCCGGGTGGAGAAACAAATTTAGTGTAAGCGATTTAAAACGCATAGCAACGTGGAATATAAGAACACTTTATGAAGCAGGAAAATTAACAACAGTCATGTTAGAAATGGAGAGATTAGACATACAAGTATTGGGCCTTTCAGAAGTCCGATGGCCAAAGTCTGGAAACTACACCAAGGATAATAATACTATTTTCTACTCAGGCAAAAGCACTGGAGAACACAGCCATGGTGTTGGTATTATTATCAACAATAACTTAAAAGAGTTTGTGACAAATTTCATTCCCTTTAACGAACGTATGATGCTACTTCAGCTGAAAGCCAAACCTCTAAACATAAATCTAATCCAAGTGTATGCTCCAACATCTGATAGCAATGATGCTGAGGTCGAAAAATTCTACGCGGACTTAGAACTGTTAACAAAAAACATAAAGAAGCAGGAGGTAAAAATAATTATGGGCGACTTTAATGCTAAAGTCGGTCGAGGAAAAACTGGAAATATAGTAGGAAATTTTGGGTTAGGTAAAAGAAACGAAAGAGGAGACAGACTAGTCCAGTACTGCCAGGAGAAAGAATTAGTCATAACAAATACATACTACGACCTACCCCTACGAAGATTATACACGTGGACTTCTCCAAAAGATAACACCAACAATATAATCAGAAACCAAATAGATTTTATAACGATTAACAAAAGGTTTCGTAATGGAGTACAAAGTGCAAAAACCTATCCAAGCGCAGATGCAGATACGGATCATAATCTATTACTAGCAAACGTCAACATT